ATATTCTGAGAAAAACATTCAATGTAGGTCAAAAAATCTTGCTTTATAATTCTCAACTACATTTATTTCCTGAAAAACTAAGATCAAGATGGAGCGATCCTTTTATTGTGAAACATGTATATCCATATAGGGCCTGTGATATCAAGAATCCAAAGAATGACAATGTTTTCAAGGTAAATGAACATCGTTTGAAAGTTTACTTTGATAATTTTTCAGTTGAAAATGACTTTATTGAATTGGGTGATCCTGTATATAAAGATTGATTTTTTTTCTTTCATATTATTTTTGTATTTCTTTTTTAGTGATTTTTGTTAGCTTCTCTCACCCCGGTCAAATGGCGGACAACGGTACTCCGTGACTTAAGTTTGTTCTTTCAGTTTCCTATAATAACTGATATCTATATATATATTAGTGCAATTCTTTGAATCTCTCTTCCAATTCTCATTTGAAAATGGACATTAATCATGAAAAATTGAAAAAAGTATTTTCTCCCTCTGCCTCAGAATGCGATTACAAAAATTTACCATGCTAGATGTGCAAGATTGAGATTGTTAATGAATCATGGAATTCCTGAAGATATTCACTGGTTGATTGAAGCAAAGGTCCGATTATTAGGTGAGTCCTCTAATTCCTTCATTTCACACATGCTTGGAACAAGTAAAAACACTTTTGCAAAGAAACATCCTGTAAAATGAATGAAAGTCTGCCATCGATGTGTCATATGGACTTATAATGCATAATGTCATTCTTTAGGAATGGTATCTATAAACCGTGAAGGTAAAATACAATTCATTAAGGATGACCTGAGTAAGGAGTCTTTAGATAATCTTCTATTAACTCTTGAGAAGCATCCTAGTGGAGAAGTGCATTGTGAAATTCATGATTTATGGCCACTATTTCATAAAGAACATGCTCAACTTAGTCTTGGGAATCTGACTAAAAAAGATCCTGTTTGCCAGTTTTTAAGAAAACTGGATGGGAAGCCTATCCCTGACCATAGTGGGCGTTTAAACCATTTTTAGACGTAAAACCAAGAAAAGATGTGAGCCACAATCACAAATATTTGCACATACACATGCTTTTTCAAAAATAAATAAATAACAAGAGAGTGTGTGTGAGACTCCAGTTGGCCTCCACATAGGTGGTATGAATTTTAATGAAAAAAGAAAAAGCTTTAATCTGATTGTGTTCATGCTATAATTTGAGTTATTATAGGTGTTATAGACCTCCTTAAATTCTCTTAAATACAAGTATGTATTTTCTAAATCTAAGCCATAAAAAGAAGGTAAAAGTTGAATAATGTCTAGCTTAAAATTAAAATGAGATGCATCAGGAGGGAAAACTATACATGAGGGTACATTTGTTTTTATGGGATTCATGTGGTTTATAAGTGTTTTGACACAGTTATTCTCACTATTCTCATTATAAAGCGACATGTTATCTTCTTCGGCCATATTTTCTAAAAATAATGAGGATACCTTACAAAGTCTACCACTTAATGTACGTGACCAAACTCTCATGCACATGTAGGAAGAGAATAAACGGAAGAATAAAACAAAATAAAAGAAACAAAGTTAGATACATGAAAAGTGAAAAGAGAAAATAAAATAGATATTATAATTTATACAAAAATTTACCTTCGCGACAATGATGCTAAAAACTTGACACGACCAAAATATTGATGTCTTCTCCAAAGTGTAGAAGTGTTAAATAATAAATAACTCGACAAGATCAAGGTCGAACCACAGGGAGGTTAACTATATAAATTATAAACAACAACAACAACAAGAAGTTAAATAAGACTTTGAGATTGAAATATTAATGTGAGGATTAAACAATGATAAAAGCAAATATCAGAATTAGAGGATCCACTAATAGTATTTCAAACAAGTATAGTATACATTCTTTTTATTACTCAACTGAAAACCACACAGAAAAGAGGTTCCAATCAGATTATAAATTATTAGCATGATTGCATGAGTTATCTTATTCGAATAATGCTAATACTTTTAAATGTTATTAGGTATTCATGATTATAACTTATGCTAATAATAAATTAAGTTCCTTTCATATTACAAGTGCGGATTATACCATACGGCTGGGCTATAAAAGTATCAAGTATTTGTTGTACCAATAGTTATATAACATAAATCTATATTAACCATTTAACAAGCTAAAGTATTAAGAGTGGATAAGATAACAAATACAAAACATGTTGTATCAAACATTAAAGTCCATGTTGAGTTTACACTATACTTATTCTTACACTATTAGTGTAACTCTTTTACCTTGACATAATAAACTTAGCTAAACATAATAAAGAAGATAAACATAAATAAACAACATAAAAACATAAGTATAGTAAACGAAATGAAAAGCAGAAACAAGAGATTAAGAAAAATATAATATGAAATAAAACTTAAACATTACAAAAATATAAAGAGAGAAATGAAGAGCATAATCTTGATTTGAAAACCAAGATGTTTAAATGCATGGCAAATGCCTCCTTTAATAGATCAAAATTGAAAACTATTGATTTGTTGACTAATTGTTGAGTGGGTGACCACATCTTGACTTGATGACAATCTTTGTCTTCTTATCTGAATAAAACATTATTGCTAACATTAGAATTTGAACAAACTTGATCATGAAAGTTTTAGAAAATTATCTTAGCTTTCCAAAAAAAAAAATTAATGTCATTTTGACTTCTAAAACTTGAGATATGGGCTGAACACTGAATAATATTTAGGTTGCAAGATAAATTTTGACTTCTCTATTATTACTAAGGTTTGAACTTAAAAATGACCTTTTTAAATCCTGTATTCCTCATAAAAATTTTAGGCCTATATTTTAGCTTTTTATCTATATAGAGCAAACCCAAATCCAAGTTTTATTACTCTAGATATAACCTAATGACTGAACAGTGTTCTAGTTGGACTAAACTAGCATTTTTTTTAAGCTTAACTCTCTCTTTATCTTCTCAATTTCATTAGTTAAACTCATCAAACAAACCTTTTATTTATATGATAGGCCTGTATTTAAAATGAATATTTATCATAAATTAAAGGTATCCTATATTATTAGACATGTTATTATAAAATATGCTCTAGTTAAGAAGTTATTGATACTTCAAGTGCAAAATAATAAAAAAAAACCTTGATAAAAATACACTTTTAAATACTAATAAAAAAATCTCTATGTAGGGCTTTCCTATATTGACCCTAAACTCAGTATGTTTGTTTATGTTTTGGAAGTAAACCTATAACTTCAAATAGAAAACTAGTAATATGTTGTTTATAATCATATCTTTAAATTTAAAATAAATTTTTTAAACATATTTAATTAATTTATCTATTTTAAATATCAAGTGGTATAGGAATATGAATTATTAAAATAATCTAACACAAGTTTTATTGTTTTATGTAGCGAGTTAGATAAATAGTAGCATTATCAAGTATGTCCATTATTAGTTTGTAATTAAAACTATTAATTTAGTTATTTTTATATGTAAAAAAATTATATAGGTAATTGCATTATTGATAATGTCATAGGTTATATGGAATCCTTATTAAGAATTTGATTGGTTAGCTACTCCTTCTGTGTGTGTATTTATATTAAACACGGACTTATAGATAAAAATGGTTCCCCACTTATCTTTTTTATCTTGTTGAGTTGTATTTTTTAGATCATGCGGTGTGATAGTTCAGATGACAATAGCGCATCCTGATTAATACAAATACAAAGGACACATTGCATGTCATTAGTTATTGGGATAGACATAATGATTATAATTGTATGACTAACCATCTCTATTACAAAGCATAGTGGGATGCATCGAGAGATGAAATTTTTATTAAGGTATAGCATATTATTTCATATGATCAATATATTGAGTGATATTGGGGTATAACATGTATCATCACACCAAACCTAACACAAATTCATCACACAAATAATTTAAAATGTTGTAAGTATTTAATATTTTTTGCAATTAATATGTGATGTTTAATGTATTTTATTTATAGATTAATAACTATATTTACTCAATATTAAGTTGGTAATTTGTTGCATAATGATAAAGAAGTCGTTATTATATTTGTGAGCTCAAAGATAGACTTATTCATTATTATACATCTTGTTGGTTTAACTCTTGTTGCACTACATTTGAGATGTTTGGAGAGATATCATGTTGTGATGATGCTATTTTAAAAAATAAAAAGATTTAAATATTGAGAAGTTATAATATTGATGAAGTTAGTTTATTAACTCATCATTATAAATGTAGATAGACTAGGATATGTATAGATAATATAATAATGTTGTGTATTTTATTATATTTTTATAATTATTTTAGATTTGTCAAATTGAGATTTTAATATTGTATTTTATATTATAAATATTTAAATTTATTTTGGATAAATAAGTAGAATTTAAAATTATAAATTTACAATTGAATATATAATCATTAACAAAATATTGTTTATAATTGCAAAGTAATCATTTACAGGTTAACAAACATGACAACGTTTATAATTGAACGAAGACAACATATTATAATATTGTGTTATTGTCAATATTAGTTAATATTATAACACACGGACAAATACAACATTCACATCTTAGTAAATAAATTTTAATATCTTTTTTTTTTGTGCTTTTTCAAACCTAATAATATCCAACCTATTTTTATTCTGCGTTTTTTTTTAAAAATTATTTGTGTTTTTGGGGTTTGAATTTAGGATTAGAAATGTTTCTGAATAGAGATTTATATTTAGGATTAGCGTTTAGAATTTAAAATTTGAGTTTGAGAATTTGGGTTTTAAAGTTAGGGATTTTGGGTTTAGATTTTAGAGTATGGAGTTTAAGCCTTAAGGTTGGGGTTTACGAGCTCACTAACTGAACAACTGATTAGTTTGATTTTTGAGGTCGCTTTCAAGTATGAGTATTATCCTCTGTTGGCATCTTTTGTCTTGGCTTTTAAGCGAATAAAACTCCGACAGGTTGCGCAGGTAAATTTCCGTAGGCATCTATCTATAAATACAGTTCCAACAGTCCATTCTATTCATAGTAAGCTAAGGAACTAGCCATGGCTAAGTTAGGTCCTATCTTGTATAGGATCTTTTGTATGCTTTTAAGCTTTGTTTTGCTCACTCACTCAGCCCCTGAAACTGCTCTTGTTACTCAGCTTCCTGGCTTCTCTGGCACTTTTCCTTCTAAACACTATTCTGGGTATTTTATTTTCCTTTTGCCTTGTCATTTCTCTACTTGCATAGAATTTCTTGTTGCAATTACACACACACACACACACACACACACATATATATGTATTGTAAGTAATTCATTGCTGATGGTTCAAGATTTGTCAAAGCCAAAGCTAGTTCTTTTTATCGTTTCTCAATTCTGAATCACAGTGTAGTTGATATACTGGAATTAATGTCTGTATTGGAATTTTTTTGTTAGGTATGTGACCATAGATGAAAGTCAAGGCAAGAGATTGTTTTACTACTTTGTTGAATCGGAAAGGAACCCACCAAAGGATCCAGTTGTTCTTTGGCTCAATGGTGGACCTGGATGCTCTAGCTTTGATGGGTTTGTATATGAACATGGTATATATTCATCTCATCAAATTTCCCTTTTTAATCTATCTGTGTTATGCTTAGATTGAGATTTGGGTTGGTTATAACATAGGGATTGAAGGAAGCCTTGCGCCTCTTCCGTGATGATATTGGGGTTTCTCATAAAAAAATTGTCCACGTTTTACTTTTTAGTAATGTCAGTTTAGTTCTTCAAAAATGCGAGGCCCAGGGTGAAAGTTCAGTACGAATTCAAAACCCATCAATTTTATCATTTTGGCTATTGGACCTCATGGAATTGAAGTAACAACAAAGAGGATGGTCTTATTCAGCACCTAGCTATCTTGGATTTTTTTTTACCAATTCATACTCTGAAAACAACTGTGTCTTGTTGCTGTGGTTTTGTGGATTGAGTTAGTTGTCGGTTTTTGAACGATGAATTCAATGTATATGCAGGTCCTTTCAATTTTGAAGCAGCAGAAACAAAGGGAGATCTGCCCAAATTGCATCTTAATCCATACAGCTGGTCCAAGGTTGACCGAATTTTCTTCTGACAAAAGATATAATTTCTTTTGTGTGCTAAATTTCTTTTGTGTGCTAATAAACGTCATAAGATTGCTTTGGCATTTCAGGTTTCCAGCGTTTTATATTTAGATTCTCCTGCTGGTGTTGGGCTTTCTTATTCCAAGAACGAAACTGATTATATAACTGGTGACACAAGGACTGCCTCTGATTCGCATGCCTTTCTACTCAAGGTATATAGGGGAAAGAAAAATGGATAATTTGAGCATGTTTATAGCTGCTTTCTTATTTCCAAAATACTGAATATCAGTAATTTGCTATTCTGAAATCAGTGGTTCGAGCTATACCCAGAATTCCTCTCTAATCCATTTTTTATTTCTGGAGAGTCCTATGCTGGAATATATGTGCCAACTCTTGCTTATGAAGTCGTGAAAGGTATTTTTTTCAATCTATGAGTTGCGTTTTTGGAACTTGAGAGTATAATGCATTCTTGCTTTTTTCAGGACTTGATGCTGGTGTAAAGCCCATTCTCAATTTCAAGGTATGGATTCTTGAAATCCTCTTTTACTGAATTCAAAATTTATTACTGCTAAGTACTTAAACCTGCATTTTGTACAGGGATATTTGGTGGGAAATGGAGTTACTGATGAGGAGTTTGATGGCAATGCTCTTGTTCCATTTGCACATGGGATGGGCCTGATCCCAGATGAGTTATTTGAGGTGAGTAAGATAAACATTCTATGATGATTTATGCTGTTTCCGTATGCTAGCTTTCCTTAAATACTTGGAAATCTGCACCATGGAGTCTCACACATCATTATAAAATCCTTGACAATATTTTGTGATTTTGATATTAAGATAGAGTTTCTTTCTTTCATCAAAACGTGTTTTCTGACATTGCATGATATGCTACAGGAGGTAACCAAGGAGTGCACTGGAAATTTCTACAACCCACTCGGTGAAACTTGTGAGAACAAACTCCAAAAAGTTTACAAGGTACTTAGTGGGTTTCTCATAATTTGAAAAGTTAAAATAATCTCATAAAGTGCTCTGTCATTTGCATTGATATCTTTACTAATCCCAGGATGTTGAAGGTTTAAACATATATGACATTCTAGAACCATGCTATCATGGCTCAAATATAAAGGAGGTTACAGATGATAGAATCAGGTTACCATCCAGCTTTCGGCAATTAGGTGAGACCGAAAGGCCTCTGCCTGTGAGAAAAAGGATGTTTGGCCGTGCCTGGCCTTTTAGAGCTCCTGTAAGACCTGGAATTGTTCCAACTTGGCCACAGCTCCTGGATGGCGAGAGTGTTCCATGCACTGTAAGTCCAATATATATTTGTTGTAGATCCTGTGACTTTTATCTATTAATGTACTTATTTGTTTCTGAAATCCTCCAAGGTGAATTCTGGTGGCTTGTTCTGTTATCTAGATTTGCTGAATGTTATTGTTGTAATGTTTGATGCTATTTTATCTTATAAACTTCCACCAGTAATGTATGGTGAACATTGCAAAAAAATTGTTTTTCAGAAGGAAAAAAGATTGAAGTTGAAATGCTTCTTGAATAATGTCATAAGTTCTTAAGAATCAGTAATGAGACTACTGAAAGAAGTTCTACATTTGCATAGATGTGACACCATTTTCCAACTAGATTAGCTGATACTATTTCCTTTTGTTTTTCATTACAAAGGCCACGACCATGCCAGTGAGGAAAACAGTCATAACCTTTATAAGAGAAGGAAGCCCTGGGACAAAGGGAAAAAGTTTAAATGTCAATCTTGTGGCGGATATAATTTGGTCTTAAATAAACATTGATGGCAAATATAGAATGTTTTCTGAAACATTTCTTCTTTTTTTTTTTATATATCTTGAAGCTGGACAGATTACATGAAAATAGTCCATTCAATCAAAACGAGTAACCTTTATGAAATCTATGCTATGGTGTACCTTCTTTGAAACTTATTTAAAATTCACCATGTTTAGTTTTTAACCTTAAGGAATGTTATTGTTTGATTATTGTGCTTTCATTCTACTATCGACATCCCCCTTTGCAGTGTCCACCATCACTGTTTAAACAAAAGACAAAAGGATAAAGAAGATTATTTGTTTTGTTCATTTTTCTTGGTTCCTTGAAGCCAACCTGTCGTAGCTAGCTATACCCAATTGATACTTTCTCTATGTGCATGGTGTCATTTTCTTTGTTCACATTTGCCTTTCTGTTTGCTAACAATTTGGATTCATCTGAAATGCCATTTTGTTAGGATGATGAAGTTGCCACGTCATGGCTGAACAATGAAGCAGTTAGGAAAGCAATCCATGCTGAACTAGTAAGTTTGCTCAATTTTGTCAGTCACGCTATATTTTGAAAGCAGTTAACGTATTTTATGAACCTTATGTAAAACAGGAAAGTGTATCTGGTACTTGGGAGTTGTGCACAGATAGAATCCGTTTTCATCATGATGCTGGTAGCATGATTAAGTACCACAGGAACCTTACTTTGAAGGGATTTCGTGCCCTCATATTCAGGTACATGATCTTCAAACTTGTGTTCTTAATCTTATTAGTTTCGGTGAGACAAGTGACTTAGAGAAGACAGGAAAAGAAAGGAAAGGGGTTTAAATTGTTGTAAGATTTATTTTTACTGTTTTCCGCCTGTGTAAAGAACAATGGAGATACATATAACTTTGAACGTTCTTGTTCAGTGCTTGGTTTTTATTGGTTCCATCTGTGTAATTGTAGTTCTCTGCTCTTCAACGTCATGGATCAGATGAGATCCTCACAACTTTTTCTTGCACTGTTTATTCCTTGAATTATGTGGATGATAGTAACTGGTATAGCTTTGCTTTACTTGTAGCGGGGATCATGATATGTGTGTTCCATACACCGGGAGTGAAGCATGGACGAGATCAATGGGATATGATATAGTTGATGAATGGAGGCCATGGACTTCCAATGGACAAGTTGCCGGGTACTTTATTTGCTCTTCTTCTTTTGGAAAGGACAAACCTTTTCTTGCTTTCGAATTCCAATTGATGAGACTAATTTTTCAGTGATGAAATCGTAAGTTCAAAACATTAGGACAAAAGCTTAGAGGGAAAACGAAAGAACGTTCTCTTTATGACCTTCTAGTTTCCACGCTATTTTTATCGAGTAACAAATAAACACCTTCTGGGTGTCATTTTTGTTGCAGTTATACACAAGGGTATGCAAACAACTTAACTTTCCTAACCATGAAGGTAGGTCGCAGCTTACTATTTGATTCAGTGACTTGAGTTGTTCACCATCCTTGCCCTAATTTGATTATCATCTTGGTGCAGGGGGCTGGACATACTGTCCCAGAATACAAACCACGAGAGGCATTAGATTTCTACAGCCGTTTTCTGGCAGGGAAACCTATCTGAGACATTGTTGATCACCGGACTTCATCGCACGCAGAGAAATGAATAAATCCATCCTGCAGAAAACAACTTCCTTGTTAAGCAACTACTTTTATGCTACGCTACAAGTGAATGTATCTCATAATACTTTGCTTCTTCAAGCACCAATCTTATTGCAGATTCATCACTACATTTGTAAGCTTATGCTTGGACCAGTTTCCACAAGCCGTGGCCAAATCCTGCCCTCTGTCGAGTCTTAATCCAATAACTTTCTGACTAAAAAGAGGTTTTCCCTCCATGCGTAACTCATGATGCTCTATGATTGCTTTTTAACATTTAGCACATGAAATAAACTCTTGAGTGATTGACGACAGGGACGAATCAAAAACTTTGTTTCGCTTGGGAAGGTAGAGGTAAATAAAAAATGTTTAAAGTTTTCATGTTTAGAGATTAAAAATCAAAGAGTTTTAAAAGCAAAGGGCACCAATAATAGGGGGGATGGGTAAAAATATTTTCAACCATCACGAGGTGGTGGGCACCACTTTTTTTAGTGGTGAGTAAAACAATTAAAAAATTAATTAAATTGAAAAAATATAAAAATAATAATTAAAAAAAAAACTAAACCATTAAAAAATTGATTAATTTGAAAAATAAAAAAATAATAATTAAAAAAATTAATTATTATTATTCAAAAAAATATTTGGTTCGGTATATGTTTTATGAGTTTAAAAATAAAAAAGTTTAATTGGATAGAATCAATTTAGTTAAAAATAAAACAAATCAAATAAAAAAAATAAAAAAATTGAATTAAAAAAATTAAATTGAAAAACCAAATCAAACCGAACCAAGTACATTAAAAAGTAAAAAACAAAACAAACCCCAAAAAAATAATATAATTTTTTATTTTTAATATAAAATAATTAAATCTAACCGAAGAGAATTAAAATCAATTAGTTAGGTTTTAGTTTTTAATATAAAATAACTGAAATGAAACCAATTACTTGGAATTGATTTCGGTTTTATTTTTTGTATTTTATAAAATTTTAATTTAATAATTTTTATATGTAAAAGTTATATTGAATCGAAAATAATCACCTCTCTCCTCTTTGATCCCTTCATAACCAATGACATCATCATTGATAGCATTGAAATACCATATCTTGAATAATTATTTTTTTCAACACAAAAAGTCACTCAATATATATTGTTGAAGATAATCTATCAAAGTAATTTATTTTTGTGTTTTAAAAATATTTTAAAGTTTTTTAATATTTTCATATCATTTTAATATATTAATATCAAAAATATTTTTTTAAATAATTATTTCAATATATCTTCAAATAAAATTTTAAAAACCATGGACATAAAAAATTACTAGCACTACGAGGATCCAACCTGTGCTGATCCCCAACGAACCAGCACCAGGGGGCACCTCTATTGTCTATAACATAAAAAGAGAGAGTCTTGCAATCTTTCACGGTCTGGTGAAGAATAGCCCATGAAAACATTGGGCCATGGATATTCGACTTCATCAAAAATAAGCAATTAGCCCACATCTTGATCTACTTGCTCTCTCTGCTCCCAAGTTCTCTTGGTTCGCCGGATAAAAGGAAAAATAAAAATGGTTGCCGTCTCCCCGCTGCTGCGAAGGCGCCTGTTAAGCACCAGCGTGACTAGAACCCACCATAAACCTCAACAGCAATGGAGCATAAAGCAAGTCACGAAATCAAACTTCGCTGACACTCTTGAGGACATAAAATCCCATGTCTCCAATTCCGATTTTGTGGCCGTGTCCTTGCAAAACACCGGCTTCTTCTCCGCCCCTTGGCAACGCGTCTCCCCTTTTGACACCGCCGACACGGCTTACTTAAAAGCCAAGTATGCCGCTGAAAGGTTCCAGGTTCTTCATTTCGCTGTTTGCCCCTTCACTGTCAGGGCTTCTAAAGTCACTGCCTACCCGTTAGTACAACAATCTTTAACCAATCTTTGTTCTGTTAAAATCTATAATTGATGATGAACTAAAACTGGATATTGCTTTTGGAACAGATATAATTTTCACTTGTTCCCAAGACCTGAACTAAAGATGGAAATGCCTTCTTACAGTTTTTATTGTCAAACCTCGTCTTTGATATCTATGGCTCGCCAAGGTTTTGACTTTAATTCTTGCATAAATGATGGTATGTATTCCCTTAAAGTTGCATTGCTTCATATGTGTACTCTATGAATTTCCAAATTTGGATTCTATTTCTTTCTTCTATATTCTAAATCCTTTAGAATGTCATATTGTTTAAATTAAAGAAAATAGAAGTGAGCCAAGGTTAAGATGCTCTCTGACTCAAATCACTGAATAAGGTTGAGTTAATAGTTATTTTTGGCACTAACAACCACTCTCAAGTCTAAGCCTAATCAAAGTAAGAATCATCCATATTTTGTTTTGTTTTTCTTTTACCTGTTGAAATAGATTGTGAATGTGTTCCAGTATCATTTTAGGAGCATGACAAGTGTCGAATAGAGCCTGCTGCCTCCATGTATTGAGCTTGTTTTTGAAAATATGTGTGATTCTTCTGATTTGATAGGTATCTCATACTTGTCCAGAGAACAAGAATCTGCTGCAAAAATTCAGATGGGGAATCCAATACTTGCAAAGAATGTGACAGAATCCACTTCTACCCTTTCTGTTGCTGATTCTGTATTCATTGAAAGGATTAAATCACACATTAAAAATTGGAAGAAAGCATGTAAAGAAACTAGCACAAGGAAAGAAGGCAACCAAATTCAAGGTGGTTTGATTGACATTCCTTTCCTTTCGTTTGTTTTTTTTTAAGAAAACAAAATTATTATGAGTTCACCTTTTTGTTTCCAGATGCTCTGGTCAGATCCCTAAGAAAACTCGTTCTAGGAAATGAAGAGTATGATTCAAGACCGTGCATGAATATAGATGTTTGCAGCGAACGCCAAGCACAACTTGTGGTTGAGGTAGATTGAAAGGATAGTATGGACTGCCAGTTAGTAGTGATGCATGAGATTCTTGTCCTTATTGCTGGTTTTACTGAATTAGACTTGTTTTGCTTCCAATTTTTGTTGGTAATAATATCTTGAATTTTTATGTTTGTTGGCTACAGATGTTGCAAGAATTTGCTGATGATGTTGTTCCTTTAATAATTCCAGCAAAGGGTGGAGCAATGCAGGCAGTTCGTGTTGTTTTAACAAGTTCGAAGGAGGATAAAGATCTTCTTCAGGTGGCAACTTTATCTCAATCCTTGGTGTTGAACATGGTCAAGCTACACTTAATGATCTAATTGATGCTTGATTGACAGGGAAAGCTTCAAAATGATGAACAGGAACTAAAGAAAAAGGTCCGTGGCTTTCGAGAGGTGATCGACTTGATATCTGCTTCTCAGAAGCCTGTTGTCTCACATGGTTCCCTTAATGGTGTATATCTATGAACTCAAGTTTCTGTTTATCTGAAAATAAAGTATCTGTTTTTTTGTGGTAGTTAATGTCATGGTTCGATACTGCTACATGCAGATTTAACATTGATTCATTCAAAATTCATAGCTCCCCTGCCTCCTACAGTGGATGAGTTTATGTGTTCCTTGCGTTTGGCTTTCCCCCTGGTAATTGATGTCAACCATCTGATGAAAGAGATCAATCCTCTGAGAAAAGTTACTAGTATACCTTCAGCTATTTCTCAATTAAAGAATCGGTTCTTTACACCTATTGATATGGAAATTCCATGCCAAGGTCAGTTACTCCCTCTGGTTTTTTCATGAACAGGCTGACATATGTTATATGATAGGGGATTCATGGAAATCTGTGTTACGGAAGTCTATTTATGAATTGCTTATTTATAACTTGTAGGTTCTATTTTCTTGCCTTGTCTCCAAACATTATGACGTAGGCAATTGAAATTTCTTTTGGCAAATTATGAAGTTATACCGCTTGACATACTTGATTGATGTACACCATATTTGATCTTTTCAGCTATGGAAAATGAAGACACTATTCTTGGGCAAAATGTTGTGAAGATTTGTGAATTGTTTGCTAGGCTATGCAGTATACTCAAAATCGATCCTGCTGATGTCAAATCAGATAAAGAAAAACGGGCTTCAGCCCTTGAAGCTTACGCAAATATTTTCAGACCATTCTGTACTGCATCTGAAGAACCAATAGATGGAGAAATCAAAATATGGACTAACAACACAAGAACTGTGAGCTGTGAGGATTTAGTTTTCTTGTGGGGATTTGGGGATAGGGTGACAGCTGGGGTACTAAAGAGCCTGCTCCAAGAGTCTCATGAAGCTTTCTCCAAGGAATTTGATGTGCGATTGGTAGATACTAGCTGCGCCATTGTGATTTTCTGGCAACATGGGTTGTCAGAAACTTTTCTGAACACCATGAATAAGTGCTCAGACATGTGCGGACCTTTGAGGGAGATGGTTTCGGAAGGTCTAAGAGCTGCAGGGTATGAGACTTACAATAGAGCTTGTAGGTTAGGTTTCTGGGAGTCAAGTTTAGCAGATTCCTTGGACAGAGCCTTGGCTAACTCTGACTGTGCTTCCGAAGCTGATTCTAAAACGAAGTGTTCAGATAGGTGCAATGAATGGATAATTAACCTGGATGATCTCTGATGCTAAGATTCTATTAATTGAGTTCGAGACCCGCGTAGCCAGTTTTTATTCATAACAAGGTCGAAGCATAGAACTTTACCTTTTTATCGAAGACGAATCTAGCTTGGCAGCGATATGACACTTCTCTCTGGTTTCTGGTTAGAAGTGAGTTTTCCCCCATCGTAGGCTTCAAGCCAATTTGATTCGATATATATGCATTTGCAGTTCTGTTCCCGGTCTGTATAATGAGTTTCCCATATTGTATTTTGGTGATTTTGTAATAGATCCTCTCCCTCCCTCTCTTTAGAAACCTATATACCCGTTTTGAATTGCATCCCAAGCCTATAAATTCTGTACTTACATCATTAATATTGCCAGTTTCGTCTGTAGTCAATGTTTTTCTTTTAATAGCTTGGAGGTTTAATGTGCACTTGAAAAGCAAGAAGATTTGATGGGAAGTTGAGCGCGGAGAGAGAGAGAGAGAGAGAGGTTGTTTTCGGGATCTATTAATTATTATAAGAAAAAATGGGGTTAAATTATTTTTTAGTTTATTTTTATTTTTGCATTTTTCTTGCATAACATAATTATTATTTGTTTTATTTTAAATAATTTTTATAATTTCATCTTTTTAATTTTATTCTTGTTAAATTTAATTTTTTTATTATTATATTTTTTTTACTCTATAAGATTATTTTTATTATTTTATTTTTTAACATATGATTAGTCAGGTGTTTATCGTATTAGTTAAATCCAAATTTGAAATTTAATTAATTATAAATTTAAAAAATTAATATATAAGTGTTTTTATTTTTTATTTTTTATAAATTTTTTTACTGCTATCCAGTGTTTTGTTATTTTTTAATGAAATTATTTAGTTATTTTGAAAATTAATTATATTATTTTTTTATTTTTATTAAACTTAATTTTTTTTTAAAAATATTTTTAAAGTAAATTAATTTTATTTTTTAATATTATTAAACTTCCAAGTTGAATTCATAAAAAAATTAATGAATTACAGGATTAAGTACGGTCGTAACAGGCAACACCGTCTCCTTTTCGTTTTCCTGGTCGAGGTAACCGTTCTGTTTCAACTTCCAATCGCAAATCAAAGCCAAAAATGGCTTCCGTTACGCTACACATACAGTCACCACCACTCAACCACGACGTCGTTTCGCTTCCAAGGAATCATTTCCCTCTCGTCACCTTCAAAACAACCTTCTTTGGCTCCTCGTTGACCGCGAACGGGAAAACGCTTTCTCTACCAAAAACCTTTCGAACTCAACCTGTAATCACTTCTTCTTCTACTCACACGTTCGATGTTGTAATTATTGGTGCTGGAATCATCGGGTTAACTATTGCCCGGCAGTTCCTCATCGGGTCGGACCTTTCCGTTGCTGTTGTTGATAAGGACGTACCTTGCTCTGGTGCTACTGGCGCTGGTATTCTTAGGAACAAATTCTGATTATTATCTTTCGTTTTGTTTATTTTTTTCTGAATATTGTTTTTGTTTTACTTTGTGACGGTTACAGGGCAGGGATACTTGTGAAGAGATTATCTGAAGCTGGATTGAGAGCAGAGTACTTAACAAGTGATGCTTTGCGATTAAAGGAACCTGAGCTTGAGGTCGGTAAAGATGGTGGGGCTGCGTTTCTACCCGATGATTGTCAGTTGGACGCTCAACGTGCTGTTGCATTCATTCAAAAGGTTTATTAATTTTTCTCTTGTCTCAATTAGTCAGCATTGTTTTCAATTCATGCCTGTGTGGTTCATGTGTATGTAGGCTAATAGGCATTTTTCTACAAAAGGGAGATATGCGGAGTTCTTTCATGATCCAGTGACAAGTTTGTTGAGGTTTATTCTCACACATCTCTGTAACTGGCTGTGAATTCTTTGTGGTTTCAAGGGGTAATAAGCTCTGAGATTACTACAATTCTAACGTGTACAGATCTGATAGCAGTAGTGAGGTTGAAGGTGTTCGGACTTTGAAGAATACATTGTACAGTAAGAAGGCTGTTATAGTGGCAGCTGGTTGTTGGAGCGGTTCTTTGGTACATGACTTGTTTAGGGATTCAGATTTTTTGTTGAATGTCCCTGTTAAGCCTCGGAAGGTTGGAACTAGGATCATATAACCCAAGATTTTTATTCTTATTTTGCATTATATAAAATGGCTTGGGATTACCATTTTCTTTCTTTTTTTTTTCTTCTTTTTTTATTAAACATGACCTTTATTGGGTGATTCCATTTTGTATCTTGCACTTGTTGTATATATAAGGCCTGTTATGCATTTAATCTTTTTAACAGGGTCACTTGGTTGTCCTTGAGAACTTTAGTTCCTTTAGATTGGACCATGGCCTGATGGAGATGGGTTATGTTGATCATCTACATGATGCTTTAGATCGCAAAAGTTCACATTCAGTAAAAGTAGAGGAAGGGCAAACCTTGTCTGTCTCAATGACGGCCACCATGGACACAATGGGAAACCTTGTTCTTGGTAAAAATTTTGTACTTTTAGTTCCATGATATCTAATATCATCGATCTTAACTTGCATACAATAGCTTGGGTGAATTGCAACCTCATGAGACTTAATACTAAATTGTTTGCATGAGTAATTGTATTTGGTGACCAGGAAATGAGAGTGGCTTTCTGGTAAATCTTGGATATTTATGTCATGTCTTCCGCTCTGCCTAGCATATTGTTTTCTTCGTAATTATGTTACTTCAAATAAGATACTGTTGTTCAATGAATGCTTTTGTGGCCATCATCTGCTATTCAACTTTTCAGGGAGCAGCCGTCAGTTTACCGGGTATAGCACTAAAGTGGATGAGTCCATTATTAATCATATATGGAAGAGGGCTGGAGAGTTCTTTCCCAAACTAAAAGAGCTGCCCCTTGAAGATTTCACTTTGGATAGAAAAGTGAGAATAGGATTGCGCCCTTATAGTAAGTCCATGTACTTCACGACATGCATAGAGGAAAAAATTTCTTTCGAAGACTTGAAAATTTTAAATTTGTACTTTAAGTCATCACCTTGTACTTATGAAATGTGTTCTACTGTTCTAGTGCCTGATGGGAAGCCAGTGATTGGGCCTGTGCCTGGTTTGATGAACGTGATCATCGCAACTGGGCATGAAGGTGGAGGACTTTCTATGGTAATATCTGTATCCCCCTTTTCCACTGAAGAAAAGTGGTTAGGTGTTTTTCCTTTCTTATTCTTTTTTTCCCCTTCTAAAAATAAATTCAGGCTTTCAAGTTTGACTATATTGTTCTAGTTTTAAACTAAACTTGATTAGTGACGGCTTATGTTCCCTGCCTGTATTTGGAAATTAGCTTTGCAGTTATTTTTTATCCTTTTGACCACTGATAAATCTCTGCTGAACAAAAGAATCGCTCATCATTTTTTTTTCTTCCATTTGGAGGCTTTGGGTACTGCTGAAATGGTTGCTGATATGGTGTTGGGCAATCCTGGAATTGTTGATTTGGCAGCATTTGCACTTCAAGGTCGATGTTGCTAATAAATACCCGTGTTTTTTACAAGATGGAAGATGGAATGGTTGTATGATTGGCCGGTATTTAATGGTCTGCTGGTTTTCTGGGACATCTCAAGGTCACCGGGAATAGTGCTGAATTTTGGTAGCTGCTGACATATTTTGTATGCCTTTCGTATTTTGTATGCCTTTAAACTGAACCATTAGTTTTATCTTCTGGTTCTTTTTTCTCTCCTTTGTCTGTCTTTCATCATTTTACTGTTAATCTTGCGTGCACATCTAAGACAAATGTTATAGTCCCATTTGACTCTCTGGCGCTAGCGTTCTCCACTTTTCGATGATTGTCGAGGTGAGACAAAGTCCATTGGCAGCATATTGCCTTGGATGAATACTATTAAATTGAACCTTTGATATTTTCTCCCCTTTGACTCATAAGAAACAGAGAACATGTTTCAGTAATGCAATCACTATCAGGATGAGAGCAGGAAAATGGTGGAGCTTAACATGCTTTGGACAAGTATATATTTTGGAGGAACACTTCTATAGTGACCGTATAGTCATCACTGGACAACAGTTTGCAGTATAATGAAGTCGTGCTATATTGATATGCTGTTAGGGATCCCCATTCCTGTGATGCCCCATTTGGATCCAACATTCGATGTATCTGGGTAGAGAAGTTTGTATGGGATCTTGGCAGGGCCGCTCCTGTTCTTATCCTTGGGATCTTTGTTCCTCTGAATAATTTTCTTCTCTATCTCTTGGAGATGTTCATTGAACTTCTTGAATTTTTGCTGAACTCCACTGTCAGTGCACTCTAACAGCGGCCTCTGACCTAAGTATTCTTCATCAGATGTGTGCCTCGAGAGAACCTCTATTAATGCTATACCAAGGCTCATCTCAAATCTGCTGGGCAGCATGTTAAGATAATATTTGTCTGGATCTCTTAAGAACTCGGCAAATTCTTGTGTCCCTTCATTTGGAATAAATTTTCGACAAAGCATGGGACGATTTAAAGGGCAGCCAGCATATGCATATTGCCCAAAGTTGACGGAAGCGTGAAGGCCTGATGTAATCCATATGAGTGTTGTTAGAGCCTCTGTTAGGTCTAAGAGAGTTGTCATTTTGTACCACCATGTCTCGTTGCGCTTATCACCATGGCCCACATTCTGGATCTCAGACCACCATGCTTGAATTTCTGCATCAGACTCGACAGAAGAATCTTCTTTGTAGAAAAGTGAGCAGAAGTCTGTGACCCATGTCTTGATGGCATGCCAAATGTCAAGTCCATCTGCACCATAGGGATAATCATCGAAGAGGAGCTGTACCCCAGTGGGATTATTTGGATTGTCTGTGTCTTCCAGGGCCAATCCTCTGAAATAGCATTTGTTATAAGACAACATTAGAACTAAATGCTGGAGTAAGAATTCATGTTTTCTGAATTTTTGAGGTTGCTTCTAGGTGTTTGTTTTCTACTATGCTCACTTTGGTTTTATAGGCTCAGAATTTCATTTTGCACATACTCTAGAATGCATGGCAAATATTCAGCATATCCCTGACAGATTTTATTATATTTATGTTCATTGTTTCCTTTTCTCTTGTTTATTATATTAACTATCTACAGATCATGAAAATAATCGTATGATCTCAACTTAAATGTTGACATTATGGATTTTTTCCCCTTTTGAAATCCCTCCCATCCCCTCCCCTCAATGGTGAATGAATTATGGGAACAGCACGCTAGAGGTTGCCTGCCACCTCATGCATCCTGTCGTGTGCTTAATTAAAAAAAAAAAAAAAACGGGGGGGGGGGGGGGGGGGGGGGCTATTTGTTAGAATGAATTACCTTTTGACAAGATCAGCAGGAAGAGCTTGTTCATCAAATCTCCATTCTTTATAGAGTTCAGAAGACAATTCCATGGATATTTCACCAGAAAAGAGTGTTTTCTCAAGGATTCCTCTAGAGCTTATGAGGATTCTCCGAGCCAATGCGTTTATGTGCATGGTGTCCTTGAAATGAGGACGTAGTAGCCAGTTGATTGGGTGCATGACACTCAACTGCCTTCTAGTTGCAATGATGAATGGCTCAACTACTGCATGAGTGTGTAACCTGGAAAATGCACATATCAGAGGGAACAAAAGCATTTGGTATTCTGTTGCGAATAGGAAGACATTTCTTTTTTCTATGAACTACCAGTATTGATTTAAGAATGCATTTAGAAATTTCAGTCAAAAATTCCCGAAAAGAAAGAAAGAAAGAAAGAAACTGTCATTAGATGGCCTATATAATGATTAGCTGTTGACCTCTGAGAAAATATTTTTGTTTTGGGTAAGACTCCACAAATAATGGAAAATCCAGGATTGAGATTGGCGAGGTTTCTCAACTCACCAATGGCTGATTAGTTGGTGGTGTGCTGAGTCATTAACTGCAACATGAGCTTTAGCAAGCTGCCATAGTGCTGCTTCAGTTCCTTGATTTGCTGGGAGAAACACCCAGCTGACTTCTGTGTCCTCACTGGAGCCAGGCAGGCTCAATTCTATTGCTAATGGCTTTAATGTAGCATCAGTTCTTAAGAAAAATAGTGTTCTTGATGCATAAGCACAAACACCATTTGTGTTAATTTTGCTTAAATACGGCATGAGATAGTCATGGTGATCCAAGATGAATATCCTCCATTCATCCATTGCCTGTGATTTATATTTAGAAAGAAGTGAATAGCTACAGAAGACCTCTTGCATTCTGCATTGAACTCCTTGAGAAGGATAATCAGAAATATATACAGGGTTTTCCAACTTAGGTAAGTGATATACGCAGTGCTCCAATAAGAGTACTTGCTGTATATTATGAAAAACTTCTGACTTCCTAGAACTGAAGTAGTTTGTATGGCATTTCTGGAACAAACTATATTATATCCTTCAAGGGTGTTCTTATGAATTAAACACATATCCTATACCCTTGTTAGTGATTATTGCTCTGACTCTGATGCAAGCGACAGGAACAATAGTTTTTCATCTGTTTTATTGGATTCTTCATTCAAGGTATTATTTGTAATTTCTAGAATTGCTGGACACTACTAGATTTCTTTTTTTAATATTTTTTAGAGATCCACCTCCATAAAGCTTCAGGAGTGTGTTGAGTTTTCTATACCCATGCTTGCAATGCTTTATTTTCAGAACAAGAATTTATGAATGAATTTTTCAGCAGTTTGGCTATTTGTGTGAGCAATTTATGTTAGGTGAGCAATTCCAGCAGTTATGTCCTGGTGTGATGCTTAGGTTTTCCTTCCACTAGGTGTGCTTCCTTGAAACCCTACTTTTACAATGCAGTAGTAGCCCTTCTAGGTTCCCTTTCAGGGCTCCAACTCAATTACAAACCATAAATCCTTCTATCCAAGCTTTAAAACCCCAAATTTCCAAGACCTAACTCACCATAAAGCACTTGTAGGACAGAATTTCAACCCTCAGTTTTGCCATAATGCTATTTACCTTAAGGCTGCTTTCTAATAATAAATCATGATTTCAAAAAGATTTGAGGCTTGCAAAGGCTAGAGAAAATACTTTGAAACCCAAGCTTGATGGGGGAGTATGTTTTATAATTGAGGCTCCACTTTGTAAACCAACTGCTGAGTCTTTTTTTTTTTTCTTTATTTATTTTTTGTTTATTTTATTAATATGTTTGGGAGTGTGATTATAATTATTTTTAAAATCAACAATGATTTGAAAATATTTAAAATATATTAATTTAAAATTAAAAATTAAAAATTTTTAAAATAAAATAACAAACAAATTACTAGTAATGTTGCAAACAAAGAAATATAGCTTTGAGTATTTAACATTTCAAATCAATTTATCAATCCAGGGGGGAGATCAATGAAGTGAAATAATTAATTATAATTCAAGCTCTGTCTTCTAGAAAAAAAAACTTTGTGTGAGTACTGTTAGTTGTAACATTTAGTACATGTGGTTTTGAGTAAAAGAAAGTTGTACTGGTTGAATCTTATTATTTGTGTTAGATAATGATGTCAAATGAATGTTTAGGTGGTTTTGTGAATAATATTACCCTAGATCTTTCGCCAAAAGAGATGTTCCTGCTGTTATGACACCCAATGTATAGTGTTTACTGGTATTTATATATCTTAGGGTAGATTGATGATATATTTAATAAATCAATCTCAAAATTCTTTTAATTCTAAACTTGTGGTGATTAGATGTATGAATTTTTTTTTATTATTGTGGATTTTTGGACTAGTTTATATGCATTTTAACTAATTTCATGATCTCACAATGCTTCGCCAGTGCTCCTTAATTTTATAGTAGTTGCTTCTAGTTCATAATTTAACATCCCTCTAGTCTCATAATAAATCTTGGACGTGGGACATAAATGGTTTTAAGTATTTATGGGTGCGTGAAGAAGTTACTTCCTGGCTTATGAGTTTTGTTAAACCTCTGTCGCTATTCCTAGATATCTGAACCTTACATTTAGTGTATTCTATTATTTCCCTGCATAGTTTATAATTTTTTGAACTCTACAGGTGTTCACCATTCTAATTTAACATTAACCTCTATCCTAGTTTCATTTATGAAACGAATTTCATGTCCTGTGATTACTCTTGTTGTGCATCATCAATCTCCTAGGAGACAAGGGGGGAAAGAGAGAGAAAAGGAAAAAGGAGAGGTTTACTGAGTGGAGAAGGATGTGGATGGTTACCTGGCGAAGTGTCAACCCATCAAGGTTGTGCTCTATGTGTGATGCCTCTATTGTACTCACTCCATTTCTGCCTTTTGGTGGGAATTCCTGTGAAGTATAGTCAAATTAGAACATTTAATGGGTGCTTATGACTAAATCATGACTCAGTATCAAGGTGACCTGTTACTACAGTGTTGAACTGTGAAGGGCAATTTATAAGAACTCTACTGTGGGTTTGAAATCAACATGAAAATAATGAGTCTTGCCAGGTGTTAAGACTGGTATAGGGAACATGATCTTTGTTATGTTTATCTGTTGTATGTAGTTCATGCTTTTTGAACATATTAAGCAAATTTCTTGATTAACGGAGAGTGGGATAGAATGGTGCAGGTTTAGGCTTTAAGCTGATGATAGATCCAACGCAGTTCATAAGGTTAGAGAAACCTGCAAACTTTGTATCCTTGCTGGATTAGTTCCTGCAAGCATTTGACGTCCAAATTCCTCATCGTTTCCCCAGGCTAATTCATTCTCTGAAAAATACATTTAAAATAGACCCATAATGCTGAGACAATTTAATAGAACGCAATCCTTTAGGATCTATGAATTATAAGAGCAGATTGCTAGAGGA